AACGCCGCCGGATGGACTGGACCACCAAAAGATGTACCAAAGAACCCCGAAGGGCCACGGGGCATGCTGCAGCTGCTCATGCGGTGGAACCCGTACCCCATGGACACGCGGCCATCGTGCTCTCCTGAGGAAAAGAGGGAGATTTCTGTGGTCAGTTAATTTCCACAGAATGAACACAGTAATGAACACAAAGGCTTATGGCATAATCAACCATTTCAATATAATGACAATGAAACTGTTCCCAATTGAAGAAAAACAACAGGTTTCTGGAACATAGGCGTCCCAGGTCGGGGTGTTAAGAAGTATCACAACATATTCACACGTGATTACTTTGCGAGAGGATTGAAGGAGGCCATTTACATCATACCAACCTTCGGTCAACCGGGACGGGGGGGGGGGACGATTGTCAACGAGCTTTCACCCAATGCTGACGTCACACGTATGCCACCCTGTTTTCGCAATGCATCATGGGGACGGCAAACTGAATTATCCCTTAACCTTTCATGTTTCCCGGACTTGTATCTTAGTTACCGACCTCAGTCCTTCCTCCGCCTCCTCGAGCTCCTCCCGTCTGCTCCTGTCCTCCTCCTCCTGTCTTCTCCTGTGCTCCTCCTCCTGTCTTCTCCTGTGCTCCTCCTCCTGCCTTCCCCTGTCCTCCTCCTCATGTGTTCCCCTGACCTCCTCCTCCTCATGTGTTCTCCTGTCGTCGTCGTCTTCCATGTCATCGATATGTAAATTCTGTACCACTCTGCAAGAAATTCGAGCGACCGCTGTGTTACTTGGCACCATATACATGCAACTTATTTCTGCCATAATTATGCAAGTTATTAGTTAGGAGATGAAGCAACTGTCCCCCGCTTTTCGCCTAACACTCTATGGCCGTGACAGCATACTTGCAATTAATAGTATTAGTAATGACACAAACGATAAGAAGACTTACTTCGAGAGCTTGTCGGCACCGTCCGACATGTTCGGACTTTCAAGCGAAATGCAGCCAAATGAGCATGCGTTGTGAACTCTGACACCTCATCAATTCAGTAATTATCATATGGAATGTGTAGTGGCGTCCTGTCATTAATTAGTCACACCTGATCTATCAGCATCTTTTTTGCATATCACTACTCTGTCTTTCCCAACATGGACACGCAAGAAATTCTCTGCGCATGATAATTTCTCATGACCGAAGGCTAACAGAACTCCAAAAATACAAGAACAAGAAGAACAATAATAAACATAACTTTTGTCTTCAGGACCACCAATTCCATGCCGGAAGTGTAACGTTGAAGGTCGGTTGCCTCAGGAGAAAGAAAAGCAAAGTTACAGTATACCATTTCCTGGCACTCTACCATTAAAGGACAAATGGCTAAGGACCAAAGATACTGGTAGGACAATGATAAATTGACATGAAATAGGTACTGAAGTTGACGAAAAGAAAGAAAAAGTCTCACCTTCAAAATGTGACGTTCAGGAACAAAATCCTCCTCACACACACACACACAAGAAATTATGATGACAGGTAAGCTTTATCTATGGTTTCAATCCTGTCAATAGCAGACTGGCGTACGACCACCTGTCGGCACGATCCGGGTACTTTTTCCTCCGCTAATGCCTCGGTCACAACCCGCCGTACGTGCAACTGCGTGCTGTCTACATGCAAAAATGTGGGCAAATGTTGGGGATTCGTAAGTGGTGACTACCGCCTCCGTACGTGCGTTGACGTACTGATTATGACAGTCCTTCCCCACAGTTTCATAAAAGAAAACATAGCAAATTGGCCTCCCCGCAAAAAAACGTA